AAGGATATTTTAGAAAATAAGTAAAACATATTCATTTCTCTTAACCTTCAAGCAATACTCTATTGTAAAATTTTTGTCTTTACTAAAATAATATAAAATAGTTAGTTAAAATCATTTTCTAGTATTTGCAATTAATTTTATTTAACTATTTTTTTTAATTTTTGTATTTATATAAGAGTAGTCGTATTTTTAATTTAATAATTTAATTTATAAAAATAATTTAATGATGGTATTATGTTTACTTCCAGTTTACCTTAAAACTTAAATAGAGAATAAAAAATGGACAACAATAAAGAAAAATTAATTGGAAACGGAAGGGGGAACCTTCTCCTAAAATTGATAAAGGAAAGGAATAGAGCAGGGAATGAAGCTGCTGCTGCTGCTGTCGCCAGTGCTAGCGATATTCCTACTGTCTTCCCAATCCAATCTTTACCAAGTTCGACCAGAACCTACATACCAGAACCTATAATTAGTGCTCCTAAGCTTACAATGAGTCAAGGGAGAGCCAGTTTACTAGATATGATTAAAGCAAGAAAAGCTGCAGCAACAAACCATCCACTACAAGTAACTCCACTTCCACAAGCAACTCCACTACCTGAAACAACTCTGCCGTCACAAATAATCTCATCACCACAAGAAATTCGACCTTGTATAGGTAGGGGGTCGATACTTAATCAAATTAAGATTGCTAGGTATGTATAAAAAACTTCTTAACAATAAATTTAATTTAACACGTTTGCTGTGCCATGGCTGAATTTAAAATACCTTTGCTGTGCACTCTTTTACAATATTTGTATAAAAACCTAGAACAAGGGTCATCATTACATGTATTTTAAATTATAACAAAAACTTGTTAAACATGAATATGCATCTAAATTATCCATTATTCATATCATGAATTTTGTAATGTAATAAAAATTACACAATGATATTTCACTAATTAGCAATTAATTACTTGGCTTTGTTACTCCTAGTTCACAAGGAAGTATTTTTGAAAACATGTGAACTTTACAGATGATATTGTAATTTTAGATTACTTGTATTTCTTGAAAGCTAATTGTTTAATTATATTGATTTGCTAATATTTTTCTTAATTATAGTAATTATATAGCATGAAAACAATGGGACATATTTTCAGAAATGTTACCATTATATTAGAAAGGTGGAATATAATTATTTATGATTTGCTATAATTAAAACATTTTTTAAATTATATAAAATCATTTAATGAAATATAATGTCTAATATGCACACATTAAAATATAAAAGTAAAAAAGTGATAAAAAAAATTGATGCTCCCGA